AACAGGGGGAAAGGGGGGCCCTGGCCCTGAAATCACTGGGTGCCGACACTGGGGATGCTGTTTTCTGGGGCAGTAGGGTCAGATCTGTTTGCAGTGAAAAGAGCTTGAGGCTGGGAACAGAGACCCTTGGGTCCTTGTCCCAACTCTGTCTCTTGCTTTCTCAGGTCCTGGTTAAGTGGCCGGAGCGGCTGATAGCATGGGTGCTGGCCCTCCTGTCCTGGGCAGGGGGCACTTGTATAGCCAGGTGGGAGCCCCAGGCCTGCTCCCTCCTTTGCACCTGTGTGGCTGGGATCTCTGGCAGGTGGGTTAGGGCGGGTCTGCCTGCAGCAGGTGGGAGGAGCTCTGCCCAGCAGCAGGAGTGGACCTCCAATACACACACACACATACACACACACACACACACACACACACGGCCAAGTCAGGGGCTCAGCACCCATGGCATTAACATGACTGGTGGGGCAGGTGCCCAGTCTCTGGCTGGCCTTGGGGTGCCCTCCCTGAGGTGACTGCCTGGGGGAAGAGCATTAGATAAGAATCAGAGACCTGGGTCAGCGTCTCTGTGCTGTGACCTCGGTCAAGTCCCTGGCCCTCTCTGGTCAGCGGTTGGAGCTTGGAGGTTTCCAGGGGTTCTTCCAGTGCTAAAGCTTCTACCACCTCGTGGCTATTTAGCTCAGCTGTGACCTAAGCCCCGGAAGGCACCATCACGGTCAGCTGAGAAAAGATTGAAGTTGTCCAGGATTTCATCTTGCCCGGATCGGCAATCCACGCTCAGGGAGCAGCAGTCGAGAGATCACACAACACACTACAGCCCTTCAAGTGCTGAGAAGCAGGGGCGCTCCTCGGAGGACTAAGGTGCGCGCGGCCCCCGCCGTGGTATCTCCAATGGCCTCCTCCGCCTGGGAAGGTTGGACGCTGAGTCAGGAAGACACAAGAGGTGATGCGTTGAAGTTGGAGAGCACCATGGATGGTCTAAACAACAGACGGACCTGTCTCGGAAAAAGGACAGCCAGCGTGCTCCTTAGAGGCAAGGTCGGCGGCTTCGTCTCACGGACCTTGAACATGTTATCAGGAGAGACCAGACCTTCGTGCTCGCTGAAGGACTTCGTGCTTGGTAACGTGGGGCGGCAGCAACAGACAGGAAGGTCCGCAAGGAGACGGGCTGACACAGTGGCTGCCATCCTGGGCTCACCCGGAAGAACCTTCGCGAGGACGGTGCAGGGCCCGGGCTGTGTGTCGTTCTGTTGCGCACAGAGTCACTGTGAGTCGAACCCACTCGCCCGCTCTTCACAACAAGATGGGCCGAGAAGAGGACCCGTTTGATGGGGGCTGGGCGTGAGACTGGGTGAGGCTCTGTGTCCCCATGGGCCTCAGTTCCCCCTCATCTTTGTGCTCTCTGATCACTGTCCTCTGGGCCTGGGTCCTATAGGGGAGCCAGCACCCCAGATTGGGGGCGAGGGGGGAGCGGGGTAGGTGCTCTCGGGAGGTAGATAGAGATGAAAAACAGCCCTTCCCCAGGGGCAGGAGCCAGGAGCCTGTGGAGGGAGCTGTACTCAAGGCTGCCCGAGCCAAGGCCTGCCTGGAGCGGGAAGAGACCAGGATCTCCAGGGGGCTCCTCTCTTACCCTCTCTGCCGTACCCCAAACCTTGACTGCCGAGAGTTTTAATGGTTAGTTAAGGCGCTGGCTACCACCCAAAAGGCCGTGGTTCTGGTCCACAGAGAAGGGCCTCACAAGAAAGGGCTGGCCATCGAACACGGCAAAAGCAGCCAGTTTAGCCTTGCTCTGGCACACACCCGGCCCGCCTCAGACGGTGCGCGACCTGTGGACACAGCCCTGGGCAGCAGCCAGTGGTGCAAAGAGTGTGTGTATAGGGGGGTGAGGGTGGCCGGGAGCCTGGAGTCTTCCCTGATGGGAGCATGTGTGGTGGGAACTCATTTCTCTTGGTAGTTTCATGAGGCTCAGTCTGGGGGGGGTGGGGGGGGCAGCTCTCCCTTGCTCTTAGAGCTAATGGTCAAGGCCTTCTCTGTACAGCTGTGGGCAAAGGGGGAGCTGTGGTTGGCACTTTCCAGGCAGCCCCAGGGGTCCTGGCCAGCCAGCCGCACCCTTCAGGCCCCCCGCCCCCACCCCCACCCGCCAGGCTTTCCCAGTTGCTCTCACCGACTCCTTTCAGGGGGATTGCTTAGGCCCATTGCCCAGATGTGGAAACCGAGGTCAGAGAGGTCTAGGCATTCACTCGGTGCTGTGGACAGAGGAGGTACGGGGGAGTCTCCTGACTGCCAGGCTCATGTGCTTCAGATGTGTTGTCAGGAGGGACCAGTCCCTGAAGGAAGACCTCGTGCTCGGTGAAAGGGGAGGGGCAGTGAAAGAGAGGAGACCCTGGATGAGATGGACTGACGGGATAGCTCCAACAATGCATGGCCCAGGCCTAGGCGGTGTGTGGTTCTGTGGGACACGGGGTCACTGTGTCCCAGAGCCAGGGAGGGAGGATGAGCCCCATTCTCCCCTTCACCTTGCTCTCTCTCCCAGCCAGCCCCTCTGACGCGGCCAGCCCAGGTCCAGTGGGGCACAGCAGTCCAGGGGTACATCCGCTTCTGCTCTGAGATCCACCATGCCAGGCTCTGTCACCCACCCGCCCAGGAGGAGGCAGCTGCTCCAACAGCTGCAGCCTCGCCCCTCCTCCACCCTCTCTGGCTGCTAAGCGCTGTCTGTCCCATGGGCATCTTGGCCCCTGCGTCTGGAAGTTCTGGTCCCAGACTGCAAAGCTGCAAGGCCTGCAGGGCACAGGAAGTGGCACCCAGAGCCCCCCAAATCCAGGTCCCAGGACCAGCTGGGAATCCTGCCATTGAAATCACACCAGGAGCCTCTGTGAGTGCACATGTCGAAACGCTGGAAAGTGGGCTGTGGGAACCTATCTAGGATACACACCGGGGAAGACGGGCTTGGTGATCGGCATCCAGAAGGTCAGAGCTTTGCAAATCCCACTCCACCCCACCCCACCCCCACCCTGCACCCTCTGCAGTGAATCAGAATCAAGATCAACCCCTAGGCAACTCACAACAACAACAGATCACTGGGATTCCATCCAGACTGCCCTCTCCCTCTGGGGTTCCCAACCCTTCTGTCACCTGCCTCTATCTCAATCTTGTTCTGGCTCCCCTCTTCTCCCTCTCCGCCTCCAGGTCTCTGTCTCCAAACTCCTCACGTGTGGGATGAACCGGTTTTCGTGCGCACCATCTCCCTGCTGCCGGACCTGGCCCCCAGAGTCTTCAAAGGTTTCGCTTACGGCCCTGCAGATTCCAAGGGAACTGGCCAAGGAATGAGAAGACAGGATCTGGCCTCTCCTGGCCCACAGGGGGAGGACACAGAGACCTGTTGGGGCCACAATACACGGGCACCTTAGGATGCCTTGTCTGTGCCAGGGACCTGTGTCCTAAGCTTATCACAGCGTGTGTGTGTGTGTGTGTGTGTGTGTGTGTGTGTGTGTAGTGGGGGGGAGGAAAGAGGGGGAGGAATCTGCCACCATAGATCGTCCAGACATTTCTGAGTCACGGTGACCCCGTGTCCCACAGAACCACACACCGCCTAGGCCTGGGCCACGCATTGTTGGAGCTATCCTGTCAGTCCATCTCGTCCAGGGTCTCCTCTCTTTCACTGCCCCTCCCCTTTCACCGAGCACGAGGTCTTCCTCCAGGGACTGGTCCCTCCCGACAACACATCCGAAGCACATGAGCCTGGCAGTCAGGAGACACCCCCGTACCGCCTCTGTCCACAGCACCGAGTGAATGTCTAGACCTCTCTGACCTCGGTTTCCACATCTGGGCAATGGGCCTAAGCAATCCCCCTGAAAGGAGTCGGTGAGAGCAAGCAACCTGAGCCCCAGCCTGGTGCCTGGCTCGTGGGAAGGGCTCCCTGGGGGTGCTGACTGTTCTCAAGTCACCATGAAGTCACGGCTGGGCCCCCAGCCCGGGGAAGAGAAGGGAGGGTGGCCCTGCAGGGCGCCCGGGCCAGGCCTGTTTGTGCAGCACCGTGATGTAAGCTTTGGTGGCTGTGGGGTAAACAGAGCCGTCACCAGCTGTCAGGGCCCATCGAGTGTTTTGGAAGAGACGAGTATCTGTCACTGATGGCTGGGCCTCTACTGCCAGGAGTCCAGGGCTGTGACCCAGCTTGGTGGGCCTGGGAGACCAGGAGCTCCCTCGGCGTCTGCTTGTCTATCCTGTACCCAGGGTGGGGGGCTTAGAAGGCCCTGCCCTGCTGGGCCTTCCTCAGTTTCTGTACCCCACCAGGGGCTGCCTGCCTTCTGGGCCCTCACCCATCTGCAGGCGTCCCGATGAAGTTAAAGCTGGGCTGGCCCCTCCTCTGCTCACAAGCCATCTCATCGGGCAGAGAGGAGCCCTAATCCCCTCCAGTTCCCCTTGGGTTTCCCCCACATGTTTCACCCTGCCCCCTTCAAGCAGCCTGCCTGCACTGTCCATTGCCCGCACCTGAAGACCTGGTCCACCCCTCTGTCTTTGCTCCAGCTGCCCCCCTGCCCAGGGCTGGCTGTCCATCCTTCCAGAACTGGCTGGAAGCAGCTCCTGCTTAAACCTGTCCTGTGCCTCAGCCTGCCCTCAGTGCTCATGCGCTTGTGTGTCCACAAACTGCCCACAGGTAACACCCCCGGCACCTTGGCTGCTGTGCCCCCTGCCCAGTTTCCCCTATGCGTGAGCACTTCTCAGATGCCCACTTGAAAGACACCCCGGCATGGGGACATCTGGGAGCATCTCGGAGAGCCCTTTGTCTGAAGCCCTACATGCCCCAGGCATGTCCGTCCTGACACGCACAGCCTGAGAGCAGAGGAGCCCCTGCGACCCCATCCCCTTTCCCTCTGGAGCAGAAGGCACCGGACCTCAGGAGCAAAGGAGCAAGAAGAAGCGGCGAGAGGGGCTTGCCTGGGAGAGGGTGGTGGTGCAGCCCCACCAGCCAGAACTGGCTTCAGTGTAGGAGAAGTGAAAGCATGCATTACCTGGTGGGCTCTGTGACCAGGGCACGCCTCAGGGGGGATGGAAGGAGTGTCTCCGTGCAGCCCAGGCCCCAGCCTTCTCTGGGTCCCAGTCACACTGCCAGGCAGCTCACAAACACTCGCCTTTGAAGCAGGGAGTTTATTTTGGGCCCACCGCATGACCAGGGATGGCAAGCCAGACTATAAGATGTTGTGTGTCTCAGATTTCCTGTGTGAATTCAGCCCTGGGAAGCAGCGGCCCTGGCTCTGGCTTCCGCTCCCGGTGCACCCAAGACAGGCTCTCACTTCAGGGAGCATCTTGGAGCTGAGCCTCAGT